CGCACAGCATCAATGGTTTTCGGAACAACTGATTTTGGACGGCCTTCGCGAAATTGGTCTTGTTCACCATTGCTTCACTCAAGGAGGAAATATTTGGGTGAGTTACTCCAGCGCACCGATTTTTGCTCGTGCACGATAACTATTGCTTGGCCAGCACTGATTAAACAACAAAATATTAACTTCCTAGGCTGATAGGTACAACAAATGATACCCATATTTTCACATAGAATTTTAGATTTTTACACCGAGCATATTATTGAATGACGTATTAAATACAATTTTTTACAGTTAGTATCCTCGTCAAGGTTACACAAATGAGGAACACATTTTAAGACAGTTTTTCTCGTGGCATTTGACACTAGAATGAACTGAATTACCGGCGAACGAGGTTTTTTAAATTGATTCGCCGTTTTATAGATCTTACTTGAATATGCAAATTTATAATCACAGCCTTTCTGTTGCGGCTCTCAATCCCTTTACAAAATTTTTGTTACGTTTGCCGGGCGCACAACGCAGTTTGCAAACCATTCGACGTTGCTGTCGTATGACCTTGACCCAATTCCGGCAGCACCACTCCGGAACCCCAATTCCGGTAGCCTCGCTTCCTCGCAGACCAGCCGTCCGCGATGTCGCTCAAAACGCCGTCTTCTCTCTGCTGCCACCAGATCCACGTCCCATCTTCTTTCGCCTTGCCTCTTGGCCACGCCCGTCACCTGAATCCTCGCCTCTTCTTCTTTCTTCCCGCTCTTCCTATGCGGCACGCCGACGCGTATTTCAAAGTCCTTACACGTGTTTGCTAACGGCGTATCGGTTTTCTGGTGTTCTTTACAACACTTCTTACTAGTTTAGCTAACTGCACAGTTCTGACTCGCAACAGCTCATATTTCTTGCTTTCGCGGCCACTATTCCGCCTCGTACTAGCTTCTCCACTATTTTCCACATTCTTTATGAAATTATACTTCGCCTAGTTAGTCACAGTTCAGAAGGCTGAATCTTCCGCTATCCTACTATTCTTTCGCATGAACAATTACTTCCCACCGTACTTTCTACAAAATGGCGTCTCCTAAACCTCACTGATCTAACTCTCTACACACGTGCGAACTCTTCGACGTCTCTCATCAAAAGGCTGCTCTCTCTAATTACTACCGCTCTGACTGACCGCACTGGAGCTATCACCTCGGCGTCTCGTACAGAAAGAAGAATGATCAGTCGGCTGCTCCACTATTTAATAGGTAGCGTGACGTCACAACGAACCGTTCCGCGTTTTTCGTGAGCTAGAAGTTCGCCTCCGTCGCGCTGCAGGCAGCATCTAGCAGATAGCGCTGTTTCGGGAGTAATCTACGATTTCCGTATTCGGCTCGCCTATGCTCCGGTGATCTCTAGTTTCGACGACTGTGAGGGTGTTGTGGGTTTCCGACCTCGTATCCAACGCCACAATACATATTATATATGTATTAACACCTCTTAGTCGTACGCTCGTATACTGGCATGTAAAACTGCTTTTGTAAAAATGTATCTGCACCTGTAACAATTTATAGCAAACGATGCGCATGGCGCGCATACTCTCATTTAAATATAGTGGCACTTAAGGTTCACGAGGTGGAGACAGAGGGGGACATTGTTAAGAAGTGTCACCGGGAGAGATGGCTCAGGGCATCAACTCATGTCACTGCGGTTCCTCTAACCGGGAAATCCTAGGTTCGAGTCTCGACGGTAACAAGATTTTCGACACTGGCTTGTTCGCAAGGTGGAATTCAGTCGTTGTCTGGAGGAGAATTCTAGCGGCCGGCTGCTCTGGTCGGTAGTGCTCCGTGGTTTCCCCGATCAACACCAGGCGAATGCAGATGCAGTACCCTAACAAACGGGCCACGGACCGCGCGCAATCTCACCTTCCTCTTCCTTGTCCTATCCTCACTCACTCCGACACACACACACTTACACTAACATGCACTACACCACCACACATGCCGAGAGATCGGTCGGGAGTTTAGAACTTGTGCAGACTGGGGCAGTGGGAGATATCTGGTTAGGGGAAAACCCGCTATCCGACGGTAGGTTGGCGCCGGATCTCACCATACATCGAGGGAAAAATTCACCGCCACCTCCCGGGCAAAAATGCACTACACTTACGGGACTAATGACTAGTTGTTCATGTGCCCGGAATCACTAAACCATCAATCAGTTCCAATATGAAAAACCTAAGTCACAAGGAAGCTTCCGATTGGATGACAGTGTCCCCCTTCCCTTCCAGCTCGCGACCTTCAAGTGCCACTGTGTTTCAATCGACGAGGCACGTGCAGAAAGTAAGTTCTGTTTCAATTTATCTCCGCCGCAGCTCTGCGATCGCAGTTCCGCACATGCGTGGTAGACGCTCTGTATCAAGGAGAAGAAACGTGCGCCATTTGGAGATCGCTGTCACGTACGCTTTGTTGTGCTTGTTTACAATATCGATGTTGATTGAAAATCCCGCCGCTTGTGAAATCAGATCTGTGATTCGTTTTCTGAATGCGAGGAAAGTGAAACCAAGTGAAATTTATCGGCAAATTTGCGATGTTTACGGACCAAATGCGATGAGTGATTCAATGGTAAGACGATAGGTCCGACAGTTCAATAACGGACGTAGTGTTGTGCATGATGAAGACCGAAGTGGGCGTCCATATTTGGTTACAGAAGAACTGGTTCACGCGATTGATGATAAGATCCAGGAAAACCGAAGGTTTACAATTAGTGCTCTGTACTCTGTGTAAGTCGTACTCTGTAAAAGTCGTACTCTGTAAAAGTCGTACCCTGTAAAAGTCGTACCCTGTAAAAGTCGTACTCTGTAAAAGTCGTACCCTGTAAAAGTCGTACCCTGTTAAAGTCGTACCCTGTTAAAGTCGTACCCTGTAAAAGTCGTACTCTGTAAAAGTCGTACTCTGTAAAAGTCGTACTCTGTAAAAGTCGTACTCTGTAAAAGTCGTACTCTGTATAATTGGTTCTCTGTATAAGTCGGCCGTGCTGCGCAGGGTCGGCGGGCGCCGCGCTGGCGGGGTGGCTGGCAGTGGCGCTGTTGCTGCTGGGCTGGCGCCGCCGCGCCCCTCCCGCCGCCTCCGCCTCCGCCCCCGCGCGCCTGCTGCTCCTGGCGGGGGCGCTGGGCGGCGTGGCGCGCGCGCTGCTGGCTGGCTTCCCCTTCGCCGCGGCCGCCGCCCTCGCCGGCAGGTGAGTCGTTGTCATGACTGTCACGGGCAACTTTTTTACTTGACCGATGGATTGACGATTTCGGGTGGAGTGGGGATACTAGTTACAGTGTCGGCCACTAGAGTATTTTAAGTAATGCCAACGTCTGTGAAATGAAAGTCAAAACTGCATCTTGTGCTTAACTTTTTCGGGAGTTTTAGGTGACTTCCTTGAAGGACCTGGACCTTACTCAGCCATTTCTTTCGAATTTGACAATAAACCTGAACAGGGATACTGCACTATGAAAGCAACTGGCTTTGACTAGCTTCTGTTTCGCGCCAACGAAGTTTTAATGCTTGGAAGGTTGTCATCAGTGCCCGTTGCGAGCTTGTGTCTTCAGCTGTTTATTGCACAAGGGAGGGGGATCAAGGTCATCGTTCAAGAAAAGTTACGCGAGTAATAGGCGGCCAAACTTTGCCAAACGTTCGTGGCTAGCTCTCGGTCTTGCCACTACGCGGCCCCGGATTCGATAGCGCGTTAAAACAGTGTAATGTGTGTTAAATGTGTAATAGCATGTGTAGCGTAGGCGTGTGTATATCAGCTGAAATTTGTGGAGTATACATAATAAAACGCTCATTCCAAGTTTATCTAAAAATACAAATTTATTACTGTCTCAGCATTTGCTCTGTGAATCCAGGAACGCTGCCCGAAAACCCTTATTGAGATGGTGTCCTACACATAGAAGCTATAATGGAATTTAAAAAATAATTATAATTTCAATATTATAAATTAAAAACCATAATATAGCATAAATCAAGATTTACATAGTATGTATTAGCAGACAGAATTTTTTTTAACGTCCGAAATGATTGAACCACCGAAAGTGCAAAAAGATATACACGAAACCATATAGAAGGTAAACAAGAACAAGTTGGAATCAGCTTATTGCAAACGCGCTTTGAAATAACACTACAAACAATTTTGTCAACGATTTCCTTTCTGTATCGTTAAGAAACCTAAAGAAGGATACATTTGGCGTATTATTTTGATTGTTTCTACAATTTATAGCACTACAGACGGCGCGTGCGTTTGTTAGTATTTTTAATCGTGCATCAATGTATGCAGGATGCAAATCTGATGACACAATTTAACAATGGCAAGTGAGCTAAGAGCGGATAATATTAATATTCAATCGATTCTACTCACTGCATCCAAATTGTATCACCAATACATACTATCACGTGTAAACTGCATGCAAATACGTAAGCCTCACCTCAACGAAGTGGTGCTACTTCTTGCTCGCCGCTGGGAGCGCTGAAATTGCACCGGATGAAAAAATCATAGGGAGCTTTGCAACTGTTGTACTAAAGTATTTTTTTTATTTATAACAACAAATTTACAATCTATTTTTTACAAAATAATAAGTAAATATGATGTTGCAGAATTGTTATGACAATGATTTCCAGTGAAGGTATCCCATCGGTACTCTTCATCTACTTCATACTATAACAAAAAGCAAGTGTTATTTTCGGTTGGCTGCAAGTAGGATAGTTTATTAGCTGAGGATAATGTTTCAGTTATTTGTTGAGAGTCTATATGGGAGTTGTAGGGGTGAGGTTCTGGTTAGTCGATGGATATCTGCACTATAGTCTAGGATGTTGAGGTCTTGGTGGTTTGGATGGTTTTCAAGGCGCTGGATATAGTTTGAGCTGATAAATTCTATTCTTTCCAAGACAGTGGGCATTTTTAAGTCCTTGGATAGTGCTGCATTTGTGATGAACCATGGTGCTGCCGCGATCATTCTTAGGGTCTTGGATTGAAATCTCTGGATGATCGAGAGATTACTCTTGCTTGCTGTGCCCCAGATCTGGATGCCGTAGGTCCATATTGGGATTATGATAGCTTTATAAATCAACAGTTTGTTTTCCAGTGATAGTTTTGAGTGGTATCCTAGTATCCAGAATAGTTTTCTTATTTGAAGTTGTAGGTGCTTTTTTGGCTAAGATGTGATGCTTCCATGTTAGCCGTTTGTCTAGGTGTATTCCCAAGTATTTTACACTTTCCATCTGTACTATTGGATTGTTGTTGATGTGGACAGTAGGGCATTTGTTTTTTCTTAGGGTAAAAGTTATATGGACTGATTTATTTTCGTTGATTTTTATTTTCCACTTTTTGGCCCAATCTTCAATCATTCAAATTTCAATCTCACAATACTAAAGTATGGTAATCAGTTTTTTGCGGCCATTGTGGCACGGATTAGTGCTGGCGCTGAGACAGCCCGCCGTCAGGCAACGCTTCCGTTTTTCTGGCGACTGAAAAAACAAAAAAACAAAAATAGTCCTCAGTGTAGAAGCGCATGTCCCGACTCCACAAGTGACAGCAAGCGAATGTTCTGCCGTGCTTCTGACCAGGAGATCCTGAGGTTCGAACCACGACTTGCTAGGTAGCTAGATCGAAATCAGCCGCTCTCTCAAGGAGAATTCTAGCGGCCGGCTACTCAGTAACTACATCAGTAATTTTTCCGAACTACACGAGATAAGTGCCGGAGTAGTTCTCTTACAAACAGGGCTTGGAACGCGCGCTATCTTACTATTCTCTTCTTGGTCCCGTCTTCTCCACCTACACACACACACACACTTACTTGCACTACAGTACCACATATCTCGAGAGACCTGTTGGGAGCTTGTCTTGGCTGGGACGGTGCCCACTGGTGGGAGATACCTTGTTGGGGGAAAACCACCAAGCTAACGTGTAGGTCACCGTACAGCGGAGGTAGATCACAGCCACATCACGCAACAAAACATTCACTACAATTACGGGACTAATTATCATAGTAGCTGGCACGCCCGAGGGTTGAAGTGTGGCTGTTATGCGTGGCCATCGCGATATATGCCCTCTCGGAAGCGACGTTCAATGTTTCCAACTGCCGAAAATCCGCTCAATATATGAATATTTGGGCTTGATTTGCCCGAAAATTTGTGTTCAGTGTCTCTAGAGGTTGCTGATTAATTTTTTTTGAAATTGCTTTATTAAAAGCAAAACGTTCAGGCAAATAAACCCAATCATTCGTGTTTTGGGAAAAGTTTTTGCAACAGTTGGAGCCAGTGTGCTACGCTGCAGAAAGACACTGGGCAGGTCTGGCAATGACCGTGCAAAAAGTGCCACGCCGTGCCCCTACCGGAAACGCCAATCAAACGTCAATCAATCGACTTTTCGCCTGCGAGATATTGATTAATTCGTGTTTCCGGGAGCGTGAAGTCCCGTATGCGTAGTGCATGTTTTAGCGTTGATCTTTCCCAGCTGGACGGCGAGATCCGGCGCCGACCTACACGTCGACACGCGGGAGTTTTCCCCGCCTAGGGCAGAGAAGCGATGTGAAGGGATGTGAAGCGATGTGAAGGGATGTGAAGCGATGTGAAGGGATGTGAAGGGATGTGAATGCGAGTGGGCGAAAGCTGGTGTGGTGGCGGTGTGCGCAGGTGGGTGTTTGGCGACGGCTGCTGCACCCTGTTCGCCGCGCTGCGCCTCCAGCTGGACGGGGCGCTGCGCTGCGCATGCGCGTTCCTCGCCGCGCAGCGCGCCTTCCCTCGCCTGGCAGGTAGGTCGCCTCCGCTCAGCCTCCTCAAGGTCCTTTTACACGGCGCCACTCCGCAGCGCTTTCGAGTGGCGCGTCTGCTGGCAAAGCATTGGTTTAAATGGAGGTATTGACACGAGCGGCGTAGTAGCAGTGTTGTGTAGGTTTAGGCCCCTTTCACGCGGCGCCACACAAAGGCACTTTCGAGTGGCGCGTCTGCTGGTAAAGCATTGGTTTAAATGGAGGTTTTCACACGAGCGGCGTAGTAGCAATGATGTGGCGGTAAGGGCTCCTTCACGCGGTGCCGCTCAGAAGCGCTTTCGAGTGGTGCGGCTGGCAAAGCATTGGTTTGAATGAAGGTATTCAAACAAGCTGCGAAACTCCAATGTTGTGGCGCTTAGTGGCGCTTCACGCGGGGCCTCTGAAAAGCGCTTTCTAGTGGCGCGTCTGCTATCAAAGCTTTGGTTTAAATGGAGGTATTCACATGAGCAGCGTAGTAGCAATGATGTGGCGGTTAGGGCCCATTTCACGCGGCGCCACTCAAAATCGCTTTCGAGTCTGCTGGCTTGATTGGGGGCATTCACACGAGAGGCGGAGTAGCAATGATGTGATACTTTGGACACCTTCACGCGGCGCCACTCTAAAGCACTTTCGAGTGGCGCGGGTGGTAAAGCATTGGTTTGAATGGAAGTATTCACACGAGCGGTAGCAAAGATGGGGGCGATTAAGGGCCCATTACGCGGTGCCACTCAGCAGCGTTACAGAGTGGCGTGCTGCTAGCAATGCGTTTTCCCTAGATCGCTCAGATGTGCTACTGAACCTGCTTTTTCCTATTGACTGCCTAGCTGCCCCCGGAGCCCTGAGATATGTGTCCAAATCCTTCTGTTCCCACTTTCAATGGGACTCGGCGGTGGCCCTGTATGAAGGGGCTTGACGCTCGTCGGTGGCGCCACCGAATGGCCGCGTGTGAAGGCAGTCTAAGCCTGATGTGTTCACGAGCCATCACCAAGAGAAACATATCTAAATGGACGCGTTCACACTACACCATTCTGACTCGCCACTGAATCTGTTTTTACCTAGTGAGTGCCTTGCGACCACCGGAGCCAAGAGCGGTGTCTTCGAATCCTTTCTTTACCACGGTGAGTGGCGATTTGCGGTGTCTTTGTACGAAGGGGCCCGGCCCTTGTCGATGGCGCCACAGAGTGGCGCCGTGTGAAGGCAGTCTAAGCATGATGGGTTCACAGTCCAGCGCCAACAGAACCATTTCTAAGTGGCGGCGTTCACACTAAACATGTTTTTATGTAGTGAGTGCTTAGCGACCGCAGGATCCCAGAGCGGTGTCACCGAATCCTTCCTTTCCCACGGCCAGTGGCGCTCGGCGGTGGCCCTGTGTGCTGGGGCTTGGCGCTCCCCGGTGGCGCCACCGAGTGGCCCCGTGTGAAGGTGGCCTAAGGTGGAAGCATTTCTTGTACTCGGATCTTTCATTTGTGTTGCGCGCATGCGCAGGGCCGTCTTCGAGCCGCGTGCTGGGGGGCGTGGCTGCGTGCTGGGCCTTCTCCGCCGCCTGGGCCGCCGCCCCCCTCCTCGGATGGGGCAGGTGAGTCGCTCCAGCAGCCCTCGCCTCATTCCGTGAATGCAATGCGCTTGTTCAGCTTTCCGGATTAACGCCTTAAGGCGCGATTTCAGGAGGCAAGTTTCGGTGACCGATTTATGTTGAACAAAAGTGGAATAAGACTTAAATGCTGTTGTTCACACTTTTCAATATAAACTAATCAGTGATTTAATTGTACATTTAGCGTCCAATACAGTTGTGCAAGAATGTATACAGATGGTAGTAGGTTTGTTAAAAGACGAACTGAAAATAATTTTATGTAATTTGAACAAAAGTCGTGAAAAACGGCGTTTTAGGGTGAGGCAGTGGTTTATGAAAAAAAAGGAATATATTACAACCATCTGAAATATTGTTGAAAGTGCTAGCACTGGAGGATAAAGAAGGATGCGGGTATTCTTGACAATAGAACCCAAAGCAATTTTCTCGTTTATTTTTATATTTATCCGTTCAGTGGTTCCAAAGACAATCATGCTTGTGATACAGTTCCAAAAAGTTCATCCTAACACTTTCAGACCATTTGAGGCCCATTGTAATTTCCAATAATATAACGAGCACCGCGACCAGTTACGTGCGTTCTACGCAATTCGACAAACGTTGTCTGCCGAGTTCACCCAAGACATGATTCAACTTGATGGCATTCGTGATAACGCATCACTTGAACGACGAAAGTTTGATTGGGTCAGAAGTTTCTTGATCAACTTTACTGAAAGAAAGGTTCTTACTAAAGTTTTCATACAACTTTTGTTGGTCAACGTAAATCGGTCAACTAAACTCGTCTCGTGCGAACTCGTCTTTTCAACACAGTGCTCCTTCTTGTCTTAAACTTACATTCCACCCGACTCATTACGTAACGCAAGTGATTGCTCGGTCTACACATGTAACGCAAGATACTTTTTTATTCTACACGAGTTTCGTAAAATCTTTTTGAACAAGTACTCTTTTATCTCAAAATGTTTGTTTGAATATAATGTAGAAGTAATTTAAATATAATCTGAATTATTTAAATGTGTTCTCTTCCGAATGAAAAAGGGGGTTATGCGACGTCTATTAACATACATAATATTTTAGTTCTCAGTTAATAATTTATTATGATTCATTCAGTAGTCGTGAGAATAGTATACACTACAGAACTATATGATAATAGTTGATAGTACATGACTATATGACAAGTCTGTGATAACCCTAGACGTTTCGTTGATTAGCGCAACCCCGGGTTCCATTCCCGGTCGGGACAAAATTTAATTGTTCGCTTTCCTTGCAATGTCCCAGTATCTGTTGCTGTCTGACGATGAGAAAGCTCACTTCTCAAGTTGAGAAGACCAGAATACAGCTAATTAATAGCTAATTTGTCTTCTCAAATAGTTTTTATTTAACGGGAGTGAATTATTTGTTATCGACCCTTGCCAAAAAACGCTCCTTTCTATCTGTATTGAGAATTGAACTTGTACTTGCTTTAAGGTACCAAAATTAGAAACCAAACTTAAGAAAACGTATACAGAATCCCCTCCCCCACCTAGCCCGTCACGACTAATTGTTAACTGTTTGTGACGTTGAATATATGAAAATGTGCACTATGATGTGATTCGCAAGTCAGTCAGCTGGCTTAAGTTTTATAAGGGTTAGCGTATCGAGCTGTTAGAGCCACATTTGCACCTTCAAACCCCCATCAGAGTCGTGAATTTTTAAGATTGGAAAATCCTTCGTACACCTTCTTCTGAGGGGAAGTAAAGCTGGTTGTCCCATGTAGTAGATTTACTGTATGTAAAATAATCTCAAGCCTAAGAGAAGCTTCTGGGATAAATTTAAATTGCCTGTTTCGCCGCCCAAGTGGTTCCTTTTTTCCCCTGCTAGATGGTGAAAGGAGCGTAGTCCTGACGGAGGAGCGTGTTTGATGGTCGGAGTCTCGCCGCGTAAAATAAGGCATGGACTAACTAAATTTATCTTTCCGAGTTGAATGTGGGGTGTGGGTGTGCGTGGTGGGCAGGTTCGGATGTGACGTCACGGGCTTCTGGTGCGAGTTGGACTGGCGGCCCGATGGCGGCGCGCGCTCCGCTCTCAACGCCCTCTGCCTGCTGTTTGGCGAACTAGTGCCGCTGCAGCTCGCGTGAGTACTCATTGGCTGATTAAACCCTACATTTGCAATATTGCGATTTAATAACCCTACGTTTAACATTACGATTATACCCTACTTGTACAATTTTACGATTTAATAACTCTACTTTTAACTTTTCGATTTGACCCTACGTTTACAATTTTGCGGTTTAAGAATCCTACGTTTAATTTTACGATTTAACTCCGTGTTTACTGATTGAGTACAATATGAACTCATACAGTATATTTAAAAGAGTTATTAATAGCTTTAAAATATAACTCTGGTAATATCTCTAGTAGTTCATATATTAGTCCTTTAATTTTTTATTAGTAGTTAAATGATACTAAGAGGCGTTTTCTTGCATATTTAATATATTAAATACTCCAAATTTTGTAAAAAAATATGTTCTGGTATTGCTTTACAGCAGATTTCTGTCCATATTTTAACTTTATCGAAACTACATATCTTTGAATATACCATAAAATATTTAAAATATCCATCCTCATTAAAGAATTTGGGGTCTGAATATATTGTTATCTCAAATAAAATTTTCACTTGAAAATAATAAATCAAAAATAGTTAACATATTTTTTTTTTTAAATAAAAATTATCTTTATAACTTACAAAGAGAAACAACTATATTCTCAATCCGTATAATCGTAATCTTAGCAGTATATTAATAAACATATTAAAAATTAGAATTTGTTTAAAAAATAGTGGATCCAGAATGTCAGGAAAACGTAAAAAATTGCTAAAATTGCCTAAGATAAAAGTTTAGGAAACGAAGAGTTAAATATAGTGACTCTTGAAGGGTGGCAGCTGGAAGTGGAGGGGGGCACTGTCAGCCAATCGTGAGCTTGAATACCAAAAATTTAAGTGGAAATAATTATTTCTATTGGATGACCATGTTCCCGTCCCCTTCCAGCCCTCGACCTTGGGGAGTCACTACATTTAAACGGACAATAGTTGAGTCCATGGCTGAGCTAGCGTCCGGCCCCCTTTCCTCCTTCGCCCCGACCGGCAGACTTGGCTCAGAACCTGCATAACCGCTGTACCCACAGTCCCTCTGACCAGGCAGTCCTAACGTTCGCGTCCCGAGAATGTCAGGAGTTGCGACACTGTTTAGCTACGACGAATTCAGCCGCCCCGTGTGGAAAATTGATTGATGTTTCTGAGCAAGTCAACTGCTATTGACATTAGAGCCGTTAGTGTAGTGTACGTTTTCTCTGTCTGGAGATAATGATGTTCCTTCGCCGTTGGATGGCGCGATCGAGCAGCGACCTGCAGGTCGGCTTGCGAGTAAGGCGTCGTCCAGCGAGGCACCGCCTCAGACGGGAGAAGCTCGATTCTCCCGACATTTGTGGTAGTGTAGTGCTAGTTAGTGTAAGATTGTGTAAGGGGTGAGGATAGGACAAGGAAGAGGAAGGAAATATCGCGCGCGTTTTGTAGCCCGTCTGTTAAGGCACCGGCATTCACGTTCTGTTGATTGGAGAATCCACGGGAAACTACCGATGAGAGCAGCCGGCCCTACGAAGTCTCCTCCAGACAGCGCCTGAATTTGGCTTGCTATGTAGCTATGGTGGAAAATCCTGCCGGCGTCGGTGCTGGAACCTAGGCTCTCCCGGTCAGAGGGTGGGTGCACGGGGGCGGGGCGTGAGGAGGATTTGTGCGCAGGTGCGTGCTGTCGGCGGTGGCGGTACGTCGAACCAAGAGGCCTCCAGATGAGGTGGCGGTGGACGAGGTGGAGGAACAGCAGTTGCACCGGGTGAGTATCCTTGCTCTTAACACACACACACACACACGCTCTCTCTCTGTCCTTCTCTCTTCCTCTCTCCCTCTCCCTCTCTCTCTCCTTCTCTCTTCCTCTCGCTTCCTCTCCCCCCTCTCTTTCACTCTCTCTCCGTCTCTCCCCTCTCCCCTCTTTCACTCTCTCTCCCTCTCTCCCCCCTCTCTCCCTTTCTCTGAGGCTCACACTCACATAGACACTCTCTCTCTCTCTCTCTCTCTCTCTCTCATTCCTCTCCCAATGCTCGGCAGCGGAAGAAAACGGCTCTTGCTTTTTTTTGGAATTCAGTTGGAATTAAAACAATCACGATAATCATGGTTTTTAATATGAAATGGTCAAAAAATAACTATTTTGAGAGAAGTAAGTTTGTAGCTCTGAAACATGGGAAGAGATTTGTTTTTGTTTTATGAATTAGCAATTTCACTCCTATGTCCGACCGAGGCTGGGTCAAGGCAATTTTTTTTGGGGGGGGGGGGAGGTTTTAATTCTGGTGGACGAAACCTACGAGTATACCTCGAATATTACTTTTAAACAATGTGTCGCGAAAAACATTGAAGTTTCTTCTGTTTTTCTATGCTTACAAGCATACCTTTCTGTGCAATACTTACGTGTTTCAATATTTTATTTAGTGTGTTACGTTTTTTTCGGACAATGATATGTATTTAAATAAATAGTGTTTGTTTCACTGAACATATCTAATCAATATTTTTTCCTTATTAAGTAAGTTTAAAGTTTTATTTGTCATGAATTTCATACACCTAACTCTAATTGATTATAAAAAATTTCAAAATGTCCGAAATGGCCAGGATTCCGAAAATAAATCGGTCTTAAAGGCACAGAACTGTGAGGGTCAATGTTGCAACTGAAATGTCATCAGCGAACCGTAGAAGGGATAAGTCGCCACTTATTTCCTGTAGTGTTGTTTATATTTTAGCGTTACATTTGTGACTAAAACCGTACACAGTATTTGGAACAGAGTTACACAAAATAATGACGACTACTATTGCACTTACATTCCTTGGAGATATTCTTCATGTCTTCCGGGCTGATGGGCCGTGGTCCAATTGGCTTTGAGCTACCAAACGTTTCGCCCACGACTGCGGTGGGCATCCTCAGTGGCGAGGTCTCGGGCGAAGTGTCCGGGACGGTGGCTGACTGGCGACTGACGCCGCGTTGGTCTCGGCGTTTTACGTTTTTTGATAAAATTTTAGTCAGCTGCATTTTCCTTAGAGATGAAAGTTCCGTGCAGTTTCCGTAGAGTAGCAGTTTTTACAAGTTTTTCATTATAAATTTGTATTTTCTATCTACCATTCTTTCGTTCAAGTTTATATTTTTCATTTCAGCACACGCAAACTGAACTGACAGATGGCAAATTAAACTTTCAGCATCTACATCCATTTATAAGAAAAAGAAGGTAGTTAAATATATCATAATGGAAGTAAGAAGAAATAAAATATTACATTCCACTGAAGTAAGGCTCCCAAGATTCCAATGTCCGTTCTACGCGCGTTGATATTGTCATAAGTGACGAAACATTACTGCCTACAAGCTACAACGTACGTCAAGATAAATCGCGTTTTCTGGCTTTCACCGCGCGTCGCCCTCTAGGCCAAGCGCATTGACAACAACGCACGTCTCCGTAAGGGCTCGTGAGCCGTTCCGTATAAGTTACAGTGTTAATGAACTACGCGCGTTAACGCGACGCACGTGTGACAGGCCACGCAACGCTCGTGTGCCGTGCG